AATTTTTGAAAAGTAAGATAAAACCTCAACATCTTGAAGCAGTTCTGTTGTCATCTTGCTGCAGTCAATATTTTTACTCAAAATTTTTGTTGAATTTCTGAATGCTATTTCTGCTATTCTAAACAGTGAAAAAACATCAGATGATATAGACCAAAGACCACCTCGATTTTTTAAATTAATAAATTTTCTATTAGTTTCATACTCTTCAAATTCATTTTCTACAATTTTTGCAGCCAACAAAATTAAAAGTGTTTCTTGATCAAATCTACTTTGCCAAATTTTTGAATAACGTATCCTTCGATAAAAGGTACTAAATACATACCCTCCTAAATATTCAATTAACGTTTTTTCTTTTTCTGTAAATTGAATTGCATTGTCAAAAACTAAAATCGAGGTTGCGTTTTTAGATTTCGTTAAGTGAGCCAAAATATGATTAGCAAGGTCATATCCAACAAGAGTTGAGGTTTTATCTGTAAGATTTTTCAAAAATGCTTTCTGACCAGCAACTTTGTAAAACTTTGGATAAAAAACTTCTGCGTCACCATTAAAATTCTTAATAACATCTTTTATTAATTCAAATGAATGTTTTGCATCATCTTCTGAGAATATGTATTTTGAAAGTTCATCTCTAATACATGGAGGGTAGCAAAGATCGTTTTTAAGAATGTTAATGCTTTTTATAACAAAAGTTTTGAACTCATCTACAGAACACATTTGTTTAACATTAGTTGTTGGATTCAATGGCTGTGTTAGTGTGTCACTATTTGAGTGTTGAGCTGTTATGTGGCGCTTGAGCCCTTTCTCTGATTTACATTTTTTAACACACTGCTGGCAATTAAAACTGATTAAAGAATTTCCATTATCAATTTCACTAAGAAGAGCGTCAACATCACTAAGAAACTTATCGTTTTCGAAAAAAATATCTGACTCTAAATCTAATATGAGATGATCAATGGATTGTTCGTCTGCTGATTTCGCCATTTTTTAGATTTTTGTGCACTTATTAGTAGTCTGGGCACGATAAATAAACAGTTTTCAACATAAATTCAAATTTTTAACATTGATTGTTTGAAAACAAAAGAATCTTGCGAAAACGGCCCAACTGGCCAGACTATCTGTTATTATGACTATGGTACAATCTGCTTCATGTCCTGCTGCCTTGTAGGATATGCCTTTTTAGGCAAAGGCTAGGAGATGCAAACTCCAACATAAAACACCCCCTGCCTTGGAGGTCTAGGTTGAGTAAAGGCTAGAGATGGTGTCTCGATAAAAATACTCATCTTGGGCAGATGTTACATGCATCCGGCTGCTGTCTTGTAGAAGGCCTCCTAGGCAAAGACTTAAGGGGTAAACAGATTCTATCTGTTGACCAGCCTTGCACCCCTTCGTCATCTATCAGGCTGGCGCAGATGTATTTTTAATACATTGTTTCCAGTTTAGGATGTTGAACGCTGGATCTTCTTGACTCGATTCATGGGTTTTGCTTGTGTCTCTGTTTTTATGACTAGGCAACTCATTCTATTATCTCCAAATGAGGGTACAGCTCTAAAACTCAGTTTTATGGTTCTGAGGCCGGCTGGTAGTCAGGTTTCCCGAACTCTGTGGTAGCTCTCAGAGAGGCTGATTCCATCAACAGCTGAAAAATATCAGAGTACTAACAGTGCCATGTTGCGCATGGATGGTGTCCCTGTTTGTACTTTTGGTGTGCATTGCCAAGGCCACATTGGAGCCCTTTGTTACGGCTTAGGGTTTATTAGTGGAAATGAGGCAATTGCTTGAGCAATAGAGCAGTGTACTGAGTACTATCAATGTTCGAGTCAAGTTCTTTAACAAAATTAAAAATGAATAAAGTAACAAAAACTATAAAACACAAAAAACCACAGTCATCACCAAGTTCGCTAAACCTATCATTCACCAATATTCGTGGTCTTCGAAGTAACTTTTCTTCTGTTGAGTCTTATCTCTTGCAAAGTTCACCAGACCTGCTTGCTTTTTGTGAGACTAATTTGAGTTCAGCTGTCTCATCTTGTGATCTTAGTGTTGATGGTTATCTTCCTTTAATTCGTAAAGACTCCAATAGTCACATGCTTGGCCTGGGCATTTACATTTGTAAGAATTCACCCATTTGTCGGGAAACTAGGCTTGAATCCACAGACTACTCTTTTATGTGCTTTCGTTTAGCACCACTTCACTCTATCACCTTTCTCTTTGTTCTATATCGCTCTCCCTCATCCCAAGACAGCACTCTTCTTGATGTTATTTCTGATTATATTGACTAAGCCCTCATTCTTTATCCATAAGCCAATATTGTTGTTGTCGGTGACTTTAATGTTCATCACACTGAATGGCTTGGCTCTAGTGTCAGTGACTCTGCAGGCAGTAAGGCCCACAACTTTTGTCTTTCTCAATCCCTAAATCAAATAGTCAACTTTCCAACTCGCTTTCCAGACAACCCGAATCATTTACCTTCTCTACTCGACTTATGTCTTGTTTCTGATCCTAGTCAGTGTTCAGTTTCTTCACACTCACCCTTAGGTGCGTCTGATCATGGTTTGGTCTCTCTAAAACTATTATCTCATTCTTCTTTACCATTAGAATCCCCCTATCATCATACATCTTACAACTACCTTAAAGCTGACTGGGACTCTGACTGGGGCTGGCATGGAATCCTTAATTCCATCTCGACAATTCCAGATCAAGCCTCACTCTTCTCTATGGTTTTCCTCACATTGTGCTGCTGCAATTGCCAATCGAAACCATTACTTCCATATCTATCAGCAAAACAATTCTCCAGAAAACAGACGTCTCTTTATTACTGCTAGGAACCATTGTAAAAAAGTTTTGTCTAAAGCCAAAACCCGCTATTCTCAGATCATGAAATCTCGTATTTCATCACAAAAATTAGGCTCTCATGACTTCTGGAGAATCTTTAATAGTATCAATAATAAGGGCAAGTCTGTAATTCCACCTCTTTTGTACGGTTCAGACTTTGTCACCTCACCTAAAGACAAAGCTGAATTGTTTGCCAAGAACTTTTCATCAATATCATCTCTTGATGCCACTAGTTGCGTTTTACCTGATATACCCGTCAAACAGGTTGATCCTTGCTCGACATTTGTATCACTCCAGCTTCTGTATCTAAAGTGATTTCCCGCTTAGACTCTTCTACAGCTTGCGGCCCAGACAACATACCTATTATAGTCTTGTAGAAGTGTTCTCCTGAGCTTTCGTCCATCTTTTCAAAACTATTCAATAAGTGCTTATCAGAGTCTTGTTTTCCAGCCTGCTGGAAAGCAGCATCTGTTATCCCTATTTTCAAAAATTCTGGAGATCGATCTGACTCATCTAACTACCGTCCCATTAGTCTTCTTCCTATCATAAGCAAGGTTTTTGAATCTTTAATTAACAAACACTTAATCTCTCATCTCAAATCTCATAACCTACGTTCTGATTATCAATATGGATTTCGATCTTCTCGTTCTACGGCTGGTTTGCTATCAGTAATAACCGATAGGTTTTATCGCGCATTAGATAAAGGTGAAGAGGTTAAGGCGATTGCTCTTGACATTTCTAAAGCGTTTGATAAAGTTTGGCATGCTGGTCTCCTCCATAAGCTTTCTTCTTATGGTGTATCTGGAAACATCTTTAAAATTATTGAATCCTTCCTTTCCAATCGTAGTATAAAAGTTGTCCTTGACGGACAGCACTTTTCTTTTTATTTTGTAACCTTAGGGGTTCCCCAAGGTTCAATCCTTGGCCCTATACTCTTTTTAATATACATCAACGATCTTCCAGATATTCTCACATCTAAGGTGGCATTGTTCGCTGATGATACTACCATTTATTCTTGTCACGATAAGAAGCCAACTCCCTCTGATTGCTTGCAGGGGGCATCTGAGCTCGAAAAGGATCTCACTTCTGCTACAGCATGGGGCTCGCAGTGGCTGGTGAACTTTAATTCAGATAAAACTCAATTTTATTCGGCCAATCATTATCGCAATAATTTAGACCTTCCTATATTTAGAACGGTAATGTACTCGATGAGTCTCCTACCCTTCATCTTCTAGGATTAACTCTTACTTCTGATCTTTCTTGGAAACCTTATATCAAATCTGTTGTAAAATTAGCATCTGCTAAAGTTGCTTCTCTTTATCGAGCTTGTCACTTTCTTACTCTGGATTCTATTCTCTATCTCTATAAATCTCAAATCCGGCCTTGTATGGAATACTGTTGCCATATCTGGGGCGGATCTTCTAATGATGCCCTTTCTCTTTTAGACAAGGTGCAAAAACGCATTGTAAACATAGTTGGACCAGCTCTTGCAGACAACCTTCAACCTCTGTCACATCGTCGTAATGTTGCTTCTCTTTCTCTTTTCTACAAATACTATAATGGGCACTGCTCTAAAGAGCTAGCGTCCCTTGTGCCATCTACTAAAATTCATTCTCGTGTTACTCGTCATTCAATTAAGTCTCATCCTTTTTCTGTTACTGTTCCTAAGTGCTCCAAAAACTCTTATTTGTCTAGTTTTTTTCCTCGAACATCAGTTCTATGGAATTCGCTTCCTTCATCTTGCTTTCCTGATTCATATAATTTGCAATATTTTAAGTCGTCTGTCAATCGTTATCTTGCTCTACAATCTTCATCTTTTCTCTTCCACTAACTTCCAACACTAATTAGTGGTTGCTTGCAACCTTGTTGGAAGCGAAGATAATTAAAAAATATATATATATATATTATTAACATTAGATTCATATAAAAATTAAGTTCTGATTTTAATTATTCTACCTATAAGTCTTTTTAAACTTTTTATCAACACTTGTTTTAAAAATGGTAAAAATAAAGAGTTTAGAAAAACTATTTTAAAAAATCTTAAATTAATAATTTAAGATTTTTTAAAAATTAACAATTGAAATCTAGGGTATTTAGGATTACCCTAGAATTTAACTATAAAACTGTTATGATATCTCTTTACTTTGCACAGCAAAAAATAAAAATACCTGAGTTAGTGTCATTCCTTTTTTAAGTATTGAACTTGTGGCTGCAGCCATCGGTGAAATAGATGACAAATCTTGACTTGTTAAATTATTATCTAAAAAGATGTTAATTTAAAAATAATGTGTTTTTGTAACATTATAAATTTAAAAAAATTTAAGGTATTTACCTTTTTTTTTTGAAACCTGTAGCAACCTATTAGCATTTTCCAGCTCTGTAGCCTGTTCTTTAATTTTATTAGCTGAAAATAAACATGCTTTTAAGTATATTTAATTTTTTAATATTGCCCAAAATAAAAAATAAAAAAAAACATCTTCTTAAATATACCAATTAAGAAAAAAAAACACAACTCAAACAAATGATTTTTTACTTTGATTTGAAACTACTCAACTTGATTTTGGATCAAAAAACATTCAAAAAACCCTTGTTGTTTCTGTAATAACAGTACATATTGCATAGATTGGCTATTTTCTAGGAGAAAGACAGACTTTCAAATCCATTAGTAAAGAGAAACTTAAACAGTAGTTAAATGAGTTAATTTGACAAGTAATTGGAAAACAACAATAAAAAAATATTACCACAATTGTAAAATCTACCAATTTTAACTAAAGATGTAACTGTTGTTTAAAATTTGCAATGTACTGCATGTAATGTAAACTGCACCTTTATACATATAACATCTGTATAGAGATAAAGAAACAATTAATTGTGGAATAACAAAGGAGGATAAAGACAAAATAGCCAAAGATTGACAGAAACAATTGATTGTGGAATAACATAGGAGGATGTGAAACAATTGATTGTGGAATAACATAGGAGGATGTAAAACAATTGATTGTGGAATAACATAGGAGGATGTGAAACAATTGATTGTGCAATAACATAGGAGGATAAAGACAAAATAATGAAAGATTGTCAGAGTGAGCCAAAAGATTGTCAGAGCGAGCCAAAAGATTGTCAAAGTGAGCCAAAAGATTGTCAGAGTGAGTCTAAAGATTGTCAGAGCGAGTAAAAAGATTGTCAGAGTGAGTCTAAAGATTGTCAGAGGAAAACTTTATAGTAAGTAGTAGTTTTTGTTCTTTTTTATTTTTTACTTTTTTTCAGCACTTTAACCATTGTTCAAGTTCAATGAAAGTCTGACACTATGAACTCGAGATCTCAAATAAGTATCCTTGTGTTGATAGAAAGACAAATTTAACAAAGATGAGTGTTTGAAAAAATCTTAATTTAATTTTAAAAAAATAAAATAATCAAAAACATTTAAATTCCTGTTTCTTAAGCTAGTTTCAATGTTTTTAAGCAAAATAAAATGATTCCAAGTTAAAATCAACAGCCAAAACAATGAAATGAAATCAATGGAACTGGATGTAAGGTACCTACCTACCCCCCCCCCCCCCCTTGTACAACATACAAGATTGTATATTAGTGTTAAAAACATAATTGCGTAACAGTGTTACTGTGTAATAGTGTTAAAAACATAATTGTGTAATAGTGTTAAAAACATAATTGTGTAACTTTTTTATTGGTATATAAATTAGCTATATTTTGTGACTGTTACAAACACTTGTGTAATTGCACTGCACAAGTGTCATACTCCAATATGCCATAAGACTTGCATCTCATTTACAAATAAACATACATGAGATGGCTGATGCTATTGAAAATTTTTTTAAATCAATTGACAGCAACTTGTAACTAATAAAGACAATTTTAAACACTAATTGAGAAAACAATTTTAAACACTAATTGAGAAAACAATTTTAAACACTAATTGAGAAAACAATTTTAAACACTAATTGAGAAAACAATTTTAAACACTAAGTGAGAAAACAATTTTAAACACTAAGTGAGAAAACAATTTTTAACACTAATAATTGAGAATAGTATTATAATAATTTAACATATTTTTATGTTGATAAATTTTCTTTTTGTCTCCTTTGATGATTTTATTTCAACTCTGAAGATAATTTATTCAGATTGAAGTATTATATAAATAAAAAATAGCTTCTATACAAATGTATTTTATTTTTTGCCCTAAATAAATAACTTCACTAAATTTTAACTTCATAAACTGAACTTTGATAATAACTCAATTTCAAGTTTAGAATATTATAAATAAACTAAAAACTATTTACTAATAATTTTAATAAATACTTAAAAAATCAATTGAAAAAAATTTTTTCAAAAGAAGCATACTTAAACTTTCTAGAGATGATGCTTTATCATTTTCAGATTCTTTCAACTTTTCAGCCAATATTGATTTCTCTAAAAAGATTTAAAAAATGATAATAATAATTATTATTATTATCATGATCAATAAACTTAAAATAAAATTTCAAACCTTCATTAACTTTTAAAACATATGATTGCAGTTCAGAAAATGCAGCTGAAATTTCACTTAGCTTTTGTTTTGCATGGTCTCTATCATCCTTAATATAAATTTTGAAACAAATATTACTATGTAATAAAGCTGACATTTGAACTTAACATAATTTTGGATTTAGGTAGTGTCAGCTTATATTGCTGATTTATCAAGTATGAACATTAATCATTCTAATTATTCTAATTGCAGTTATAATAAAGTGTCATGATCTTTGAATAGCTTGATTGCAAATGGTTGTATCAAAAATCATTAAATTGTACCTATCAAAATCTAATGCCATCAGATTAAATTACACTTAAAAAAAGTGTTGTTTAGTCGCAATGTAATAACATAATCATCAATCAGGGTGTAAACTAGCCCTGTGGGGCCCTGCCAAACGCGGTATTCCCAAATGCTCATAAGATTAAAATTCCCAATATAAAAGTGAAAAAATCTCCAAATAAAGTTTGCCTAATTAAAGTTTAATAATAAGTCTACAAATTATTGAAAATTAATTACTATTAAAAACTCGTAAAACAAAATGAAAAATTTTAATTTATTGTTAAAAACTTGATGAAAATATACGGTATAACTACGCGCTTGCCTAACTGCAAAAATTTCTCTTTGAAAAAACATTTTGAGAATTGGGTTTTCCATAAATCCCTAATATTGCTCGGAATAATTTTTTGCAATGTGTTCCAATAACAGCAAATATTATTAAAATAAAGTTAGCAAGAAATAAAGAAGAATTTAAAAAATTACAAATTTGTTTGGTTTAACACCCACAAAATGCTACTACTTTCAAAGTTACACCTTTTTTGGCTGAAAAGTTGTATAAGTTAAATAAATGTTTTGATTATAACAAAGTGGTTCTAGGAATTTATTTAATGAAAATAGATTTCTTTACTTTACTGGTTGATTATATTTAAAGCGTAAATTAAATACGTATATTAAAACATAAATTAAATATCTTTAACATTAAGAATGTTTGTTTTTTTATTACAACAAACTGGTACTAGAAACTTAGAAAACAAGAAATTTCGCTTTTTTTTTTTTCTCGAATTTAAAACATAAAAGCAAATTTAAATGTTTGAATGAAACGTAGTCATAATAACATTATATGACTATGCATGAGAAAATAATAATTGATATTGTTCGCGGCCACGATAGTGTGCAATTGTTTGTTGTTGTTTTTGCTGAGACTTTGTAATTGTAACTTTATTTCGTATGTGATTCATGTATAAAGTTAATATTAATTATAAAATTGAGCTCGCAATAAATGTGAAATATGAAATTTACAAGCTTGTGTTTACTATTTACAAAACTTTTTTTATTTTTAAAACAATTCGTTTGATGACACAATTTATTTTATGATGGTGTAAGGGTTTGTCCATAAAGGACGCCAAACAGAACTTAAATAATAACTAAAAGTAGAAGATCGCTATATTACTTTAAAAATCACCCTTTAATGCTCAGCAGTCAAAAAAAAAATCTTTAAAAGAATACTCTTAACAGTGGCAACGATATATTAAGATCAAAAGTAAATCGAATATATTATTCTTAATAATTGTTAATTAATACACTCTGATTATTTTATAATATAAAAATCTATAATACTGAATTTTATAATAATAAAAATACTGAATATATCTTTGGAAATCAGAGCTTAATTTGCCATGTCGTTGTGAAACCACGTCTAATTTTGCGTTGAGTTCATATTCATTTTCAATAACTGTTACAGACGATATTTTATTTTATTTTAAGCTGTCCAATCAATGTATGCAGTGTTAACATGGAGTAGAGGAAGAAAGAATATAAGAAAAGGACCCCACACAATTTTGGTACATATTTTAATCTCAGAGGAGGTGATGGTATATTTGGGAACTTTTTTAACTAATTCCCAATTTCGTCAAAACGCTGTATCAAATTTATTCCTAGTTAACACCCTGTTAATATTTATATATATATTTTTTTAAACTAATGCACTTATGTTTCAAATAAAAATCCAAATAATATGAAAAATAAAAACGCATTTTTGGTTTTAAAAACTCAAAAATTTTCTGTTATTCATATTTGGAAAAAAGAATTGTATTAATTTAAAAAACAAGTTTTTTCTAAATGAAAAATATACAAGAAATTATACCTTGTATAATTCAACAAGTTTTGTTTGAGAAGAAAGTTCCTGCTGCATATTGTGTTGAGTTTCAATATTCTCATCTGACATTCTCTCAATTTTTGACATCAGTAACTTTAATTTTTTTTCCTGTTCAGTACAAGTTTCTTTGCAAATTTCTAGATTGCTCTTTAATTGAACATTTTCTTGACTAATTGATTCATATTTTAATTCAACATCTAAAAATTTTGAAGACTGATCTCTTTGTGTTTGAATCAAAAGTTCTGACTTTAATTTTAATTCATTAGTGATATGATCTATCTGCTGGAGAAGCATTGATTTTTCTTGTTCAAGACGCTTTTCTTTAAACTCTTTGCGTATATCTGAGTTTTTTATTTCATCGAGATCATATTGAAGACGATAACGAATTTTATTAGATTCGGCTAGTTTTTTTGACATATCTGACCATTCTTCATTTATTCTATCGATTTCTGAATTTTTTTTCTCTAAAATTTCAGCAAAATCAGCTTTTTCATGTTCAAGTCGACTACACAGTTGACGAAACTGTTCCTGAGAAAATAAAATTTGTAAAAATATTTAGAATATAAGCTTCAATTTTAAAAGGATAAAAATTATAAAATGATAACATAAAATCTAATTCTTCTGATAGCTTCTACTTTTAACTTAAATCTGATTCTCTAGAAAAACAAACCATATAAAAAAAAATATATATATATACAAGCCTCAGATGAGGCGTGCCGTGGCACATTTTTTATGACCAAGCATATAATATTTCAGAGCACGAAATAACAATCTTTTTTGTTCCGGACAATTTGTCCAATAAATACTCAAGTTTGGTGGACATGTTCGATAAAACTTAAAGAAATGCAATCGAACGCCATTCCTGACCATATTTAAAATATTTTGTTTTTACAACTCGACCGTTTGTTTTTTGGCAGTTTGTTTGGCAGTTTTTTAACAATGTAAGGCGTTTCAAAAATGCGCTAAAAAGAAAAAGAAAATTTAAAAGATAGCTCATCTAAAAAATGGAAATCTTCAAGAAAAAGACAAAATCTAAGCTCAAAAAACTAAAATTTGAAAAGAAAAATATATTTATATTACGTTTTTTAAAAATTACTATACTATATGAAATGCTTTGTAAATTATTATAAATTATAAATATATTAAATACATCAATTATTAAGTTTACTTAATACTTTATTAAATAAAATAACAAATTAATTCTTATGATTGTTTACAATTACCCTATTTCATTTAAATTATCAAAGAATATTATACATAATTACATTTATATAAATATGTATTTTTTTAAAAATTTTTACAAACTTTTTCTATAAACACTTTTAATAGCAAAAAACTTAAGCGCGAAAAACAAACACTTCGTAACTAAACTCAAATTTAATAGTGTAATAAAAAGTACTGGTTTCTACAAGCATTAAAAAAACTATTACTTTAAAATTTTTATAAAATAAAAATTTCAATGTAATAAAAATAAAAGGGTTTTGAAAGCTAAAATATTTGTTTAAAATCTAAAAAAAACCATCAAACAAAAAATAAAATAAATACTGAAATATAAATTTAAATTAATAATTAATTGCAACGCTTTAATATAAATGACAAAAACCAGGCTTAAAACGCTTAGGCGTCTTTTAAAAAATGAACTAGTATTTTATTAACGTAGCTATGTGTTCAACTTCATTTTCATTTCATTGTTGTTTATAAAAAAAAAAGTTTATATACAATACTGAATTTATTAATAATTTTGGAACAGCTAAAATTATTATAAAATAAATGCACACAAAATATGAGTCGGACAAACTTAATAATCGATTAAACTAAATCAAATAATCTATTTAATGAAATGGATTTCTTAATAATCGATTAAAGTCGATTTAGTCAATTAATAATCTTAAAATCCTTATATTTTTATTCCATTTAATTTTTTCATTTTTTTATTTTTGTTTGTTCATTTAACAGCAATAGCATTATTATAACTTTTACATGTTTCCTTGTTTTACGTTTATTATATTGTTTTACCTAATTATAGCATGTTAGCAATATTTATACCTAGTTTATACCAAACTTTCGGTTATGTATTGTATGTATATAATGTTATGGTTGCATAGACTTTTTGATATTTAGCAAGTATTAAGACTAAATTATTGGGGCTCGGGAATAGTTTTTCGTAGTTCTGTGACTCAAAGACTACAAGATGTAGGATTTTTTGGTTATATTGGAATTAAAAAACTATTTATCAGTAAAAAGAATAAGAAGGCCCGGTTGCAATATGCAAAAAAATCGCTTAAATTGGACAACCAAAGATTTGGAAAAAGTAGCTTAAAAAGTAGTAAAACATGGTGGAGAAAGTGAGATGATTGGGAAGTTTTCTCTGCACAAGGAGTTGGTTGATTGAATCCAGATCAAAGCAAATTATGAACACTTCTAGGACATTTTAGAAAACAACTTATTATCATGTGAAAGAAACAACATGTTGGAAAATTGGATATTTCAACAAGATAATGACCCAAACAGTTCAAGTTGTTAAAACAGTGGTTTTGGCTTATAATGTGAAAGTTTTAAGAAAGCCGTCTCACTTTTTAGCAAGTTTTTAGTTTTTTTTGGCATAAAATTTGGAATAGTTTTCTTTTATTCTTGTAAATTTTTAGAATATGATCATTAAAAGCACAATTGCATGTATAAACATCAATTTAACTTACATTTTTAATAAAAAATTAAATTAGCTGTAAGTTAGTTATAAATCAAGACATACTTATGTTTTGATCCTTTTTTATTGTAGAAAAACTACAGTTTTTTATTTCAAAAACAAACAAAAAGGCTGTGGCTTGGCTCCCGGCACAGCTCCGGTTCCGTACTTAAAGAACAAAAATTACAAATATATGCATATTTTTTTTGATCACATTTGCCAACTTAAATCCAAACCAATTACAGAAATTAATTTTTAACCAACTTTCATGATTACAAGGTTAATGTATTACTATCACTACTCTACTAATGCATATTACATTTAAAAAAAAATTGTTTTGAATAAATATATATTTTTTCTATATATTATAATCAAAAACTTAAGTTTTTAGTTCTAATTTAAATTCTA